CACTGGCCACCAGCCGTCCTTGTTCTTGGCCCTGCAGCCCTAACTGATGCAGAGCTGTGGCCACTGGGAGGCTGCAAACTCCAGGATCTGCCATAATGGCATAATCCGTAGTGCAGGGAGCCGACACTGGGCACCTGCCACCTGCTTGTCCCTGCTGTGTATGGGGTTTGTAGGCAGGTGCGAAGGGGCTCCTGTCCTGTAAAGCACACAAGGACACTGCCTGACACCTTCCTCCCCACATGTGACATCTCATGTCCACATTATCTATTACCTTGCCAAGTTAAGAAATTAACATTTGCACACTGATCTGTAGGCTCAGAATGTCACCAGCTCTTCCACTAGCATTGCATCATCTTTCTGCGACAGGAGCTGCCCAGGATACCACGGTGCACTCAGCCTTGGTCAGTGCACAGAAAAAGAGCAGGACCTGCCAGCAGCTCGGGAGACCGGAGGGGCTCAGCGTCCCTCTCTGGCCATATCAGCAAGGCTAGAGAGACTCAGTCTACCTGAGACTCGATACCACCTTCTTCTTTCATGATAATAAAAATAAAAATTGTAGTCCCTTCAGAGCAATTGAAGAAATTAGTGTGTCATTTAGGCCATCACCTGTCCTGAGATGTTCTCACCCACTGAAGGGGAAATACCCTAGGGGAACAGCAAGAAGGTAATTCTCCAGTGACCCTGCCCTTCCTCACATCTGTACCATGAAGTACCACTCATATACTGGATTCCAGAAGCTTCTCAACACCATGAAAATGTGTGTCTGTTTTTAAGTGCATCTGGAGCTTCTCACTGCCAGGATTCCACAGGCTCCTCCACAGCCACCTGCAGGCCCTCAGAGGTGCCTCTCAACCCACCTGGCCCCTGGTCACCTGAGCATGGCTGCGGTCTGCACCACCAGCCCTTCAAGCTTCCTGTTATGGCTCCAGAGGCTAATCTGGTAAGCGACTGTGCCTGAATCAGTCAGTCCCTTCATAGCCAGGCTGGGTCTGGGCTTTGTCCCCTCTCATGCCCAATCAGCAAGTCCCGGACCTCACCTGCCACCTTGAGCGGTGAGGGTAACACCAACAAACATCAGTGGACAATGAGCAAGAGGCCCATTTCCAAGCATTCTCTAAACCCTCCAATGAGAGAGAAATACTCTTCCTCAGATGAAAAGACTGAGAAATTCCCCAGCCACCTCCTAGGTGGTGACCTCTTCATTACGTCATCAAACACAGCGCTAAAAAGTTTAGTCTCCATTGCACTTAGGTTTTCCCTAGGACTTTCTCTATGATTTTCTTTCTTTTTCTCCAAAATCACAGATAATCCTTTTATGTTTTACTATGTGTATTTTAGAAAAATCTTTGCTTTCAGTGCTAGAACTCTTCCCTTGAATTTCACACTGTCTCTCTGGTTCTAAATGCACCCACCGGATGGTACCAGAGCCTGTCCTCTCCCTCCCTGCACTCTCTCACCCACTCTTCCTCCCACTTTAGTTCTAGAATGTTGATGGCAAATGCCAGCCATTATTATCTGTGGCCGAGGCATATAAGCTGCCCAGGGAGATGGGAGGCAGCCCCCTGTCATTTCCCCTTCTGTAGAGGGTACAGCCCCAGGGGACTGGGGCAAGGACCACCCTTGATCTGGCACAGAGCTCTGGGAGCACTGTAGCACCACACATCTGTCCCCAGTCATGCCAAACTATGGAAAGCACTTGCTACCCTAGCTGCTTCTGGGGGGAGGACAAACAGCAGTGGCCTGCAGGAGAGTCAAGTGAATTCTCCAGTGACTGGTGCCCTACAAGGCCTCTTGGAAACCCAGCTGGTACAGAGGCAGCGGGAGCTCTGGACCTCCTAAGGCACCAGTGTGGCACCTGTGCTTTGAGGGCTCCTGGCTTGGCCCTGCCCTCCAGCTGAGGTCCTTAGGTGGCCTTCAGTCTGCCACGCATTTGATCTCAGAGAAGGCCTTTGTTCTTGGGAATTCTCTTCCTCCCAGCATCAGGCAGGATGGGGTCTCTTAGATCTTCAAGGTTGCTGCCCTGCCCCTTGAGATAAGTAACGATACTTAGAGGGACTGCAGCAAGTACTTTGAAGTCACCACAAAGGTTACAATGTGCAGCAGCGGGAACCATCCCTTACAGACTCTGGCGGACACCCCCTGGCAGCAGTGGTGTGCTGAGAGCCCATTCATCCCATAGTCCCATGCCCTATGGACACGATCATTAACATGCTGGTTATGGGGGGCTAGCACCCAGCAGCTAGGGGGTCCCCTTAGGCAGCAGGCCATCAGTTACCCCACAGAGGAAAATAGCACCCAGGCAGCTGGCAATGCCTGGGTTGGGAACCCTGTGCCACACTGCACGAGGGATGGGCGTTTTGCATGCATGCACGGCCTGCTGGCACTGTAATCAAGCCAGGGCACCTCACAGAAGGCAACCTAAATGGAGCTCCCCCGAGTGGTCCACGCAGAGCCCTGTGGCCAGGGTGCTAGGTGGGCGTGGGGAGGTCTGCTTCCTTTCCCCCACGGACACCTGATTGTCATGCTCTCCCTTGCTCTGTGCTCCTGGCCTTTGGCAGAGGAGGAAAAAGGGGAAATTCCCCTTCCTGGGAGTCACTGCCTGGGCTATACTCTCTTGGCCCAAGTCCAGACAAGGGAGAAGCACCCACCCCCAGGAGACTGGGCACTCTCCCTGCTGACTTGGAGATCTGGTAGAGAGAGTGGTGGGCTCCACCCCACTGGGCTAGTTACAAAGACAGAGACCCTGGGCACATTATTTGAACTCTTTATGCCTTTTTCCTTTTCCCTTATAAAAGGAGGTGATGACAGTGGCCGACCTTCTGAGGCACAGATGCTCTAATGCACCCCAAACGGCAAAGAGGAAGTGCTCATTACGTGACTGCCCCCTCTCTTTGTAGCCACCATCAACTGCTTCTGCTGCAACACCCTGAGTCACAAGCAGAATCCCTTTCTGCTGAACTGACCCACCTGGGACAGTCCTGACACAGACGGGCACTAAGACAGGGTTTTGGAGCAGGGCCACAGAATACAGGGGCTGACTTTAACCAGTCTAGTTAAGGACCAAGCCATTATTGCATGAGTAACAGCTATAAAAGCCAGTGGTTAATAAAAAGTTAATAAGTAGAAGCGCAGTCAGTCCCTTGCATACAACAATCTGCAGGTCTCCTAACAACACATACTAATGTCTCTCATAAAATGATTATAATATTTATCTATTTTTATTCATAGATTTAGAATGTAAAGCCCAGAGAAATAAAGTAAACTGTCAGGAATACTCAACTGCCTCTCAACTTAATATTCTAGCTCACTTTTCCCCAAACTTTGGCATCACAGGGAAATGCAGATTCCCAGGCTCTACCCAGAAAGACTGACCTAGTAGGGCCCAGAGGCTTGGGCTGTGGACCAGAGGCCTGAATTTGGAATAAGCCTTTTCCAGTGATTCAGCTTGAGGTGGTCCAAGGACTGTCCTCTGAGAACCTTGTTGGGCAATGAATGCTCTCAGCTCATCTGAGGATCTCAGAGCCAAGCAGACTCAGCGTGAGTTTGCAGCACGAAGACTTCTGGAGGCCATGCTCCATGGCAGAGGCCTCGAGGGCCCTGTCGCACTGAGGAATGCGTGTTTGTTCCACGGAGGGAAACCAAAGCTTGGGACATATGAGTTTAGGGCAGAGCTGAGTATCTAGGCCTTGTACCATGAAGCCCTTTACACTAGTTTAGGACCAGTCTAGAGGAGAATTCCTGGGCCCAGGAGAAAGCGGTGTGGGCACCAACACAACCAGCCCACATGCTCAGACACACGGCGGAGCTGCCAGGGGTCTCCTCCTTGGTGTGTGTCGCTAGTGGTCCACAAACCTGGGCCACGCCTTGTCAGTAATACAGGCCTTACTGTAACATTCCAGAGCCTTTGGGTTGGCCCAACCACCTGGACATGGATCTTCCTAAGTCAGTACTGGGACTGGAAGGATAAATAGACCTGAACTTTTAGGAAACTTTGGCCTGGAATGCTCTGGGCGCAGCCTCTTATTTCCCAATCTGGGCCCTGAACTGGAGCAGAAAGCACAGAACAGCAGAGTTGAAGTGGGTCTTTCCCCAGAGAGTGGCTTTTCCTCACTCAGTGCTGGTAAAACCTTGTTTGCTTTACATCAGGATGGAATGATGCAAATATAACAGAATTTAGAGGAAAGTGCTCACATCTTCCCCTTGTTCCTGTGTGTGCTCCAGCAGGATGGGACCTGAGGTGGGAGGGGACTGCGAGCGGTGCCCACCTGGCCAGTTGGCCACTGTGTCCTATCAGACACTCCAACAGAGGAGGCGTGAGGACGCCTGAGGGTCTCCCCAGTTTTGAGTCCTTGTTTAAACATCAGTCCTCAACCCAGGAGACCCACCAAACCTGTTGCATTCCCCACTTCCATAGAGCTCCATAAAGACGGCTCCGGCTATTTCAACAAAACACACGCGATCCCCAGCGCAGAGGCCACACTGGCTGGGCGCCTTCAAGGTCCAGCACTGAGCAAACGGGCCAGACCAGGCCGTAGGAGAAGACACGGGGTTTCTTCCATTGTTCCAGTGGTGGCTGAAGGGCGTGAGGCTGTCCTGAGCTCCTCCTCGACCCGCCCATTGCCCCCGCGGAGCCTCCCGTTTAAAAACCAAAATTCTCTCTGCCAATGGCAGTGGCTGGACACAGCTCGCAGTTCCACAAAGACTTTTCCTACCCTGGTCCCAGGCGTCCTTCCCCGCTGCGGAGGCTGTAGCTTTGCTCCAGCGAAGGAAAAGGACGCCTCGGGCAGCGTTTAGATTATCAGCTGGGCTAGGAGCCCAAACTGAGCAAGCCACAGGAAGGGAAATCGGAGTTGTTCCCTGCTTAGAACCTAGGCGGGGGGGAAACACGCGCACGCACACGCACGGGTGGCACGGGCGAAGGGCCATCTCAAAGGCCACTCTAGAGTCCCAACCACTCTTGGGCGGGAATCCGAGCGCGTAGAGCCATAGCAAGGACTTACCGCCAAGACGCTCTGGGCCAGGACCCCCGCTGTCACCGTCAGCAGCAGCCACCTGGGTGGGAGAGGGAGGAACAGCGAGGTGAGCTCGCAGGCCCCGGCTTGTCAATTCCTGAAAGTTAAAGGAAGGGCCCTCCCGCGCGGGGTCCACGGGGACAGAGCGGAAAGTCGCTTACCGTGGCAGGGCAGGGCCGGACGCGGCGCACTGGTCTCTTCCCATGCTCGCGGTCCGTCCACTCTCGGCGCCCGTCGGTCCCCCTCAGCCTGGAGGCAGAGACAAAGCGGGATTAGCGAGGGGGTGGGGATGTAGCGCATCTTCGCCGCGGGTCTCTGCGACACGCGGGGACAGCGCGGTGCGCCCTCACTTCCTTGCAGGGGTAACCAGAGGGCATCCCACGACCTGACGGAAAGAGGGGAGCCATCCTTTAGGCCGCGGTTGCGGCTGCTCAGCCGAGGGAACTCGACCCCCTTTTCCCATCCGCCGCCTACTGTTCTCAACTAGAAGAGCGCGTAGCCCCGGCTCGCGCAGGGTCCCCGGAGTCCCTGCCCTGGGCCCGGGTCTCGGCGCTGCCCGGGGGTCGCTCTCACCTCGGGGCTCGGCTTTAGGGGCTGCTGCCCGCGCGAATCAGCCCTTCCAGAAGCTGCCGCCCGCGGCGCACCAGCAGTGCGGCCGGCCTCGTGGGCTCCGGCCTTGGGGGCCCCGGAGCCCCTCTTGGTCCTCGGCCCGGGTCGGCGAGCACCGCGGCGCCGCAATCGGGGCGCTGAAGTCCCCGGTTGCAAAACGCGGAGCCCTGGCGTCCCCGCGCACGGCGGCGGCAATCCCCGGGCTGCGCGCTCCCGCCGCCCTTTCCCCGCCGCCGCAGGGTCCTCCCCTTTGAGACGCCGCCCGCTCCCGCCGAGGGGAGGGGCAGCGCCAACAAATTGGGGAGCTCGGGCGGCCGGGCTCAGGTCTCCGCTTGGAGCCGCCGCGCCCGGGACGGTGCGCAGTGCTCACGCCCCGGCCTTTCGAGAGTGAGCTGAGCTGTGAGCCTCCCGCCGCGGCTCCCGCGCCACCGGCCGCAGCCCCCCGCGGCTCTCCGCCGTCCCTTGCCGCCCCGGGCGCGCCACCATGGGGCCTCGGCTCGGCGTCTGGCTGCTGCTGCTGCCCGCCGCCCTCCTGCTCCACGAGGAGCGCAGCCGGGCCGCTGCGAAGGTGAGTCCCCTGCCGGCTCCGCTCCCCGGTGTCCCGGCCCGAGCCCCGGGCGCCCCGAGTGGCCCCTTTGTCCCACGCCCGGAGACGCCCACCTGTCCCTCGGGGTCGCGCGTGGCACAGCCAGGTGCACTCTCCGGGCTGGTGCTCGCTGTGGGCTGCTATCGCGCATCCATTACGGAGCCTCCTTTGTTATGGTCTGGCTAAGGGGGAGTTAGAGACTTCTTCGTGCCAGGGAAAGGAGGAGAAGCTTAGCGAGCCCCGTGGTGGGTGAGGGTCCCTGGGAGTCGGCGGGATTTGAACCCGCATCACGGGGAGGCTCAGTGGCTGGGCGCCTTCACCTGCCCCGGGTGCGCGAGTGAGTGGTGGGCTGGAGAGTTGGACCCGCGCACCCACGCTGCTTGGAGTCCCACACACATGTGTCTGGGACTCGCTTTGGGCGTGTTTCTCGTTGTTTGGAGACTGGTGGCTGAGCAGCTTTGGGCCCTTTGCCTGGAAACAGCTGTATCTCTGCTTTCCCACGACTTCTCTGCTGCCTGAAGCACGCTGGACAACAGAGTGGGGCTCCTGTGTACGTCCGGCTTAAAGAAGCCACCATCCTCGACCCCACTGTCTTTTATAAATACATTTTTTAAAAATTACGACCACATTGATATCTGAGTGTGAAACCAAAGCGAAACCTGGGTTCATTGTTCCACGCGCAAATTGTTTTTCTAGTTCTCATTTCCTCTCGTGTGTGCCTGCCCAGAAAGAATCCGGGAGGTCGGTTTGCAGGAGTTGGGGTTTCCAGTGCCGACTGGCCCGGATGGAGTGCTGTTCTTCCCTTATTTTCTTTCCTCTGGAGAGAATAAAGACTTCAGCTGTGACTTGGTGGCATAGCCCTGCACTTTCAAAGGCCAAAAAGGTGTGGCTTTTAGACACAATTTTGCCTTTTTTCCCTCTCAAATGCTTAAAAATAATTTCTGCTACTTGCCAAACTTCCCACACTTAGTCTTTTTTACTGTTGATTAGTCTTGCTTTTCATTTTCCTCTTTAAAAAAAAAGTTTTACTTCTCCCGAAGAGTAGTGTTCACCAGCTCCAGCCTCACAGTGTCTGTCAGCTATTAACTGTTCCATGCCGGGACAAACTGGTATAACTTCGCCGCCCTGATGGCAGGCGCCCATTGGATGTTAAAAGGACTAGTGATTACATCAGCAATTAACTTGGGGTTGTCTCTCCTAGCCAGCCCAGCATCTGCAAGCCCCACGGCCAGTTATTTAAACACCCTTGAGTAATGATGACAAAATACTTTAAAAAGAACAGGCTTGAGAATACTTTATTTTGGTCTAGAAATATTGAGCAGGAGACTGAACCCTTCCAAGGTGAGACTGTTAAGCAAGGAGTGTGCAAGGTAGATCAGAAAGTTGTCCCTTAGGTGATGGGGACCTCCTTTGGGGTTTGGATTCTCTGATTGATAATGTTAGCAAAGCAAAGCTAATTCTAAGAATATTCAGGACTTTAAAGAAAATGAGCCGGTCACTTATGCAAACTTGTGCAAACTCCTGTCCTTACCAGGGAAATCAAACTCATTAGTGTTGAGTTGGAGATTACTTTTTACTTCACTGTAATTATGGTCTAAAGTCCAATGACATTCCTAGCCACTGGCTTTGCTTTTCCCTCAAGATGCCACAAAATGTTCTAAGAAATCCTGCATCTGGGTGCCCTTCCAGCACCAGTGACCTGTTACCATTGTACTGTATCTCCCTGGGCTTAGTCACAGAAAGGGGATCACTGTGCGTAAGTCTTATTGGTATACAGGACAATTTATTTAAAAATCATATGTGGCTCATTTTAAAATCTGGCTCACTTTTCCTACCATCAACAACATTTTTGCTTACCTCCTTCCAAGATCAGCTAGCTGCTGGGTATACCAAAGCACCAAATAACTCCAATATTGACCCAAGCAAAACATAACTTAGAAGTATAGTTTGAATGATGAGAGGCTGAAGGGGAATCAGGCCCTAATTCAGAAGCCAGAGTGAAGGACTCAGCCAGCCACCCCACTGGATCCCTGGAATCACACTTCACCTGCACCCCTGCATCCCAGCACCACCTACTGTGTGCCAGGCACAGAACTGCACTTATTTCTTCTGCATGAAAACCTCTTTATCTAGTAGTGGATGGATTTTCTAAACCATTGATTTCACTCCATACTGAACCTTCCCCTACTTTTGCCCCACTGCCCTCCTCAACTTTTCTTTCCTATGCAAAAAAAAAGAAAAGAAAAGAAAAAAGAAAAGGCACCGGGTGCAGGGCTGGGCTAGACATGTGCCGGCAGTTTTAGGATCATGAGCACCCTCTGGTCCTGGTCATGCACCAGTATTGGGTGGGCTGGAGGGCTCTTTGCTTCACTAGCCCTCAAACTCCCCTCCCCTGGTTCTCTGTGATGCTTCTTAAAAACTGATTTCTCAGGATCAGAAATGTGACCTTTCCCCTAAGTGTGCCTGCCCAGCAGCCCTGCCACCCCCTGGCTCTTAGTCACCACTCCTAGTACCCAATGACCTAGAGCTCAGGCTGAGTGAGACTTAATTCCCATGTGAGTGCAAACACCACCTTCTGGAAATGCATTTACATGAGAAAAGTGACTTCTGTTTAGTGCCAACCAGAGTCACATTGAGTGGTATCTCCAGAGTGATATTGGTGCAGGAATATTCCAAATGTTCAAGTTCTTTACAAATGCAATTGGTCCTGGTCCCAGGGAAGCACTTCTGAGGCCAGGCAGAAGATGCAGTGGACATGAACTGGGTATGTAAAAGTTTAGAAAGAATTACCAGTGGAAGGAATTGGTCACACACACACAGAGTGTGCCTGAGGGGAAAGAGGATTCTAAATTTTATGTCTGCTTTTAAGGAAATGATTTGGGGATCTCGCTGAACCCCATGCCTCAGTTTCCCTGGCAGATCATCTCTTTCTTCACTTGGACCCATTTGTTTCTTCCGTCTGCACCTGGAGTTCTCCTTTGTGGCATGCCCCCTGCAAGGGAGTGACACCCACATGTCCCCAGGAAGGTCACAGTCTGGTGGGAAACGCTGAGAAAGACATAGACGCAGCTAGAGTTGGTGATGCCACATTTATGAGTAACATGGCGTTGGGGAACTCAGAGACCACTTCCGAGAGGACATTCCACCTCTGAAATATGAGGAGGAAATGGGGACTGTAAAGCCAGCATGTTAGTTTCACACGCACCTTACGGTATGTTCTATACAGGAGGCATGACAATTCTACCTGCCTTTTGTCAAGTCTAGGGGTCTTTGCATTGCCAGATAACCCTAAAGTTCTCTCCTTTGTGATCCCAAGATGTCATTGTTTCTCTTATTAACAATCTTGCTAGCTGAGCTTTGTTTGATTTTAGAGGGTAGAAAGGAATTGGGGCAAGGTTTAGGGGGAACAGTGATCAGAATAAGCTCCAGCCCCACCTGAGGATCAGCATGTGGTCCTGTCCCTTTTCTTGGAGGTGGCAGGTATGTTGGGGATATTTGCAAAGCTGCAGCATGGCTGACTGACTCTGGGCAGGACTGCCTTTAGGAACTGACCCAGAAAACCTACCCTCATTCGGGCAAAGCCAGGAGGGAATTCACAAAACCCTACATTATTCATTAACAAGTCTGTTGGCAGCTTTCTGAGAACAGGTAAGAGTGCTCATAGCAAGTTCAGTTATTAAGTTAAGAGCTGGTGAAGATTGTGCAGACAAATGGAGCCCATAAGTGACACCCAAAAGCAAATCCTTTCAGGCCCCAGAGGGCCTCAAGAAGTGAGTAAATCATAATACTTGTTTTGATGAATTGGCCCATGTTTATTATAACAATTGTTCCCGACATTGAAAAAGGATTAACCTCATTAAAATGTCTCGCAAGCAGATTTGATATTCTGAGTTCTGGGGTTAGAGTAAGCTGAAGCACAATGGAAAGCCTCAAATGATATCATTAGGGCATTGTTCTTCCTGCCATTCTTCAACAGCCACTAAAAAATGTCAACTACAGAACAATACAAAGGACGTATTCCTCCCATTCTTATGCATACAATGGAGTGGGATACAAACCAGGCTTCTTTTGAGGCATGTAACACTGTAAGAGTGACTTTGGGCTAATGCTTCTGTAGTCTGGGACACAGTGACCCGGTTCTGTCCTTGTTTCCCCTCCCTTGTGCTGACCCTGAGTCGGGGCCGAGTCTATCCTAGTTTTATTTCATTACTGTGCTGTTTCTTCTCCCCCCTTTCAGGCCCCTTGGAGCTTCTCTTCCTCCCTGTCGTTCTCTGCCCTCCCCACTGGAGCATCTGTGGTCTGACTCCTTGTCAGCCCATGGGACATCTCTCTGTGGCACACCGTGAATTTTGTCTTTCAGTAAGGTCCACTAGCCGGCCCAACTCTGCCCTCCTGGAGCCCATGACTTCAGGGCTCCCCTTTCACATCTGCCAGGCACAAAGCCTCTGCCTTCGTTCCTGGAGCTTCCCAGCAGCACCCTCAGCTTTTTCTTCCCGTGGCTCTGATCCCACCCCAGGTCTCCTTTCCTTGCACCCTGCCGCCTTTTAGCTCTGGTTCTCTGCTGCTCACTTCTCCTGCCCTTGAGAGGCTGCTGGTCTTCT